TACTAGTGCCTTTGTGTGGTCAGTTTGTTTTACTGGTGCCCTTGTCAGGTCAGTTTGTTTTACCGGTGCCCTTGTGTGGTCAGTTTGTTTCACCGGTGCCCTTTTGTGGTCAGTTTGTTTTACCGGTGCCCTTGTGTGGTCAGTTTGTTTAACGGTGCCCTTGTGTGGTCAGTTTGTTTTACTGGTGCCCTTGTCGGGTCAGTTTGTTTTACTGGTGCCCTTGTCAGGTCAGTTTGTTTTACTGGTGCCCTTGTGTGGTCAGTTTGTTTTACTGGGGCCCTTGTCGGGTCAGTTTGTTTTGCTGGTGCCCTTGTCAGGTCAGTTTGTTTTACTGCTGCCTTTGTGTGGTCAGTTTGTTTAACGGTGCCCTTGTGTGGTCAGTTTGGTTTGTTCGGGACTTTGTTGGGATTGCTTGCTTTGTTTTTGTCCTTGTCGGATAATTTTGTTTTGCCGGTGATATTGTTGGATCGGTTTGTTGTTTTATTGACTTTGTATGGTCAGTTTGTGTTGTACATGACATTGTTGCATGTGTTTGTTTTGTTTTTGACCTTGTCATATCTGATTGTTTTGACGGTTGTATTGGCAGTTCGTTTTGCTTTGTTTGTTACATTGCTGAATTTGTTTGTGTTGTCCATGATCTTGGAGGACCAGTTTCTTTAGTTGGTGATCTTGATGAGTGAGTTTTTTTTGTCGAAGACCTTATTTGGTATGTTTGTTTTGTCTTAGACCTTGGTAATTCAGCTATCTCTTGTTTGTTGAACTGTTTCTAGCGGTTGTTTTGTCGGTGATTTTGTTTGATAAGATTCTTGTGTTGTACAAAATCTTCGGAAGAGATCATTCTGTTTGTGACTTTGTTTCGTCTGGTTGTCTTGTCAAGTCGGATACCCTGTTTGCCAAGTTTCTATTGTTGGATACCCTGTTTGCCCAATTGTCATTGTCAGACACCCTGTTTGCCCAGTTTCTATTGCTGGATTCCCTGTTTGCCCAGTTTTTATTGTCGGATGCCCTGTTTGGTCAGTTTGTTTTGTCGTCCACGTCGTTGGGTAAGGTTGTTTTTTTGGTGACTTTGTCGGGTGTTGTGTCGTTGGACTTGGTTGGTCAGTTCGTTTTATAGGGGACCTTGTTGGTTAAGTTTGTTCTGTCAAAAACCTTGTCTTATCAGTTCGCTTTGTCGGTGACATTGATGAATAAGTTTGTTTCGTTGGTGAAGTTGTTCGATAAGGTTGCTTGTCGATTATATGAATTTGACAGTTTGTTTTGTTTGTTGCGTTGTTAAGTCAGTTGCCTTTGTCGGTGACTTTGTCGAATTCATTTGTTGTGGCGGTGTCGCTTTGGAGTCTAATTGTTTTGTTGGTAAATTTGATTGGTCAGTTTATTTTGCTGGTGACTCTGTATTGAATTTTTACTTCGTCGGTGGTCTTGTTTGCAAGGTTTGCTTGTTTTCCTGATGACTGTGTACGGTCAGTTTGTTTTGTCGGTGATCTTGTGGAATCAGTTTGTTTTAGCGGTTACTCTGTTGGGTTAGTTTGTTTGGTGTGTTGCCTTGTTAGGTAAGTGTGTTTCCTTTATATCGTTGTTTTGTCAGTTTGTTTGGTTGGTAAAATTACTTGGTCAGTTTGTGATTTTTCTGACTTTATTGGTGTACTTTGGTTTGTTTGGGACGTTGTCGGGTCATATTTGTTTGTGTTGTAATTTATGTTTGTTTAATTGATGTCACTTTTGGAACAGTTTGTTTTGTTAGTTGTCAGGTGTATTTTGTTTTTGAAGAAGATTTGTCAGTTTCCTGTATGGGTTTGATAGAAGAATATGGTGGTTTTGTTTCACTTTCAGGCAGGTATGTATTCTGTATTGGTTTCCTAGTCGGATCTGAGTGTTTTGCTGGAAGTGAAGTTAAGTTGGGTTTTGGTGTTTAATCGTTGTGAGTCTCTCACCTTTTGTCTGTGCTGGCAATGTCGGTTTTGGATGTGAAATGGAGCCTGGTACGCCTGCAATAATAGCAAGAATAAATAGTATCTGTAAAATATATTTACGAATCTTAAAAATAGAATTTCGTTAGCATAACATTCAATTCAATAATACGTGACAAAAACAAGCGCAGTTTTCTTTAGATGATGCGGTTTCTTCCAACAACAAAACATTTTTTTGGTTATCATTCGGGTAAACAAAGGAATTAGTTAATTAGAAAATATTGTTTCATAATTGTAGTTAAAGATATAGATAAAAATTAAAACTAACCACAAATTTTGAATTCGATTTGATGTGTAATAAAATCACTATCCCTCTCAGGAGTTGTGGGCTGTTGTGGAACGTTTAAAATTTCAACTCGATCCATCGCTGACGCGAATATACAATTTCTGATTGAATTGTCCCAAAGCGTTCCTTTAATACATCAGTATCTGACGTCTAGCCCGGAAGAGGAGCACTGGTAGTAACACTCGGAGACACAGGGGTCGGGAAGGAACTCGTTAGGTCCTGGAAAATAATGAAGACATGCGGTATATAACGGTCTCGAGTTCAAACTAAATTTTATGTTCTATTCTGACACTCAAAATGACGTTCTATCCCCTAAGTTTATTTTTTTGTAAAGATGTATTCGATATGGTATCGGATATCTGGGATATCTGGGAACACTGCTTTATCTCATATTACACTTGATTTCTAAAATACAATATGAGGCCAGAAAAGATTTGTGAAAACTTCGATAGAAAAAATACTATATCGTGCTTTTAATTTGATATTCTCCGTATTTAACATATATTTATATTGGGATTGATCCATTGAGTATACATTGCATATCAAAGTACACTTTAACGACATTTAAAGTTTGCTAACGACAGTTTGGGTCATTCTGTATGAGCTCCGGAAAGATGCAGTTCATTATATAGTTGTCCCATAATGTTCCTGTTGCACAGCAATACCGGAATGCAACACCTTGGCTACAGCTATAGTAGCATCGGTCATCACATTGGTCAGGTATTAACTCTCCGTGTTTACACTGTGATGGAACTGTTATGAACATACTCAAACGAATACTAACATATCAAGTGGTCCTACACGTGTGGGGTACAAGCTACAGTACTTTGGCGTGCTATATGTCTTTCACGTTATACATTTTTTCCCTGATTGGTTTATATGTGATGTATTTTGTTCAATAAAGTTTCCTGACTTTGATCAAATTTTGCACACGGCCGCATACTTATTCAGTGTTTCTAATAGTTACACTGATACTTTTACTTTTAACATAATTCCCCTAGACACGTTGTTACAATTTACTGTCAAGCAATTGCATTGGCCATACTGGGTATAATTGTAGGGGGGGAAATGTAAATATTACAAACAGAAGTGTTTGATGATTATCTTATTGTAAGTCGAATATTTTCAAAATAGGACAAAAAATGAGGTCTAGAAAATTTGTTGGTAAAAACAAAGTAGATACATAAAGAATCGCGTAAGAAAACAATGCATCATGATAGACTAATAGAACGTCATTTTCGCCAATTCAGATTCAAAGATGATTTTATCACAGCAAACTTATTTAACAGTTAATAGAATATAACTGGAACTTTTTATTTACGAATCCGTAACATTAAACTGTATACGAATGATAATTCTATATAATAGACCACAAACCATCATACAAGTATATCAATCAATAAAAAAGCATCACTGCATATATAAATGTCTCTGGAGCTTAAGAAAGTAGTACGCCAACACTGATATTTTCTTTAGTCAGCCTGCTAGGAGTTTTAAACATTTAAAGTTACCCACCAGCGGATAACACCCTGGGGTTATTTCATTTGTCAATTTTCTTATTATGCCATCCAATAACAATGTCATGTAAAGTCCTCTTCAATTGTGACGTAATTTATATAGTTCATGGAGATTGTATTAATAATTGTACGAATAATGTATTCCGAAGAAAAACAAACGGTTCTAGATGTAATAATTGAACTTTGTGGGAGAAAAATGTCTCCAAACTCCTGTTGGTTGGTTAATAAGTTTATCTTGCTTAAGTTAGTTAATCTTTAATACATATAACGTATAAAGACGCGAATTGAAATTAACTAACCTAAGTTAGATAAACATGATGGCCAACAATCTCTGGTTTTGGAACCTCTATATATCATATTCATTTGATGTAGTCTCATGTTTTATATTGATATTTTGAAATGTGTACTTATGTTTCTGTTGAATAATCACCATCACAGTTTGATTGTGATGACACGGTGGTCGGGGTGTGGTTGTCGTGTCAACTGTTTGTTGACAATTTTTATTGACATCGTCCCATACAAAGCCAGGTTTACAGCAGTATTCAATCTGACTTCCGTTACAGCATTGGAACGCAAAGGCGGCATCACAGACGGAGGGGACTTTCATAGAGTCACGACACAATTTACGGACCTACAAGGAAAGTCTATATAACATTAATATATAACATATAATCTAATATATTCACAATCTTTTCTCAAATCCAACGTGACAGATCTATGATATGTCTTTATAAAAACAGTTTTTTTTATCTATTCAAAGGATTTTTTGTAACATAGACATAAAATTTGCAGCCAACTTTCTCTCACTTCTCCACTAAAGTTAAATATTTCTGACTGGTTCTGTTTTAAAAACACATATAAAAAAGATTTATGTTGTTATATCCCTTTATAAACATAAAGGTCTAATAAGTAATAACGTCAGTATGATCCAATATGGGCTCTGGCTCCGAACAAACAAACGTTCGTTGGATACGTATTACTTAAATAAATATATAGGCAAAGGACTTATACCCATAGTGCAAACAAAGGAATTAATCAATATTTAAGTTACTCTGTTCCTATTTTATAAATATATTTATATATATATACCTTGAAAACAAAACTTTAGAAAAACATTGATGTTGGCGAAAGAAAAATCCATTTGTCTGATCACAAAAACATGTAATAACAGGTTATCGTCAAAATATGTAATAACAGGCTACCGTAAAAAAACAACATGTAATAACAGGTTACCATTAAAAAACATATTATAACAGGTTACTTACCTTTCTGTCTATACATTCTTATATTTAGAATTTGTGTTTCCGGTGTTTTTAAACAACCTTAATCGACACGTGTAAGATTACAACACAGTCCCGTATACAGGTAAACATAACCCCTTTAATTTGTACATGTACCTGGACCATAGTTTTCCTACGCCCGGGGCACTTACGTAACTCGTCGGTAAGGCCGGAGGTGTGAAAACCCAGATGAAGGGGAGCTATAGGCAAACGAATGTAAATAATAAATACTATTCATTACGGTCATTCGGTATCGCATATCAGCTCTATGTGTCAGGCACAGGCCAGGTAAATCTCCGGTCACTCATCAAATTGTTATTTACCTGTTCTGTTACCTTGGAGCCAAACCAATTCTTGATTAAATTATTGTGATGAGAAATTACAGATATATATACAGTGTATGTTATTGCATACCAGCCTTCCGTATTTTTGTCACTCCGTAATATTGATCTACAAATTGTACCAAATCGCACAGTTGTGCGAAGAGAAGTGCACAAAGGGGCTAACGATTGTTGAATCGCACAGTTGTGCGCACCATGTGTGGACGATGTGCGGACGGTGTGTGAACGATGTATGCACGGTGTGCGCATGCTATTTTTGGTGCGTTGTGCGGTTACACAACTGTACTTTCAAGGTCGTAGAGGTCAAATATGTCAAACACTTCAAACGACTTCTTCTGAAGACCTGAAAGCTATATAATCTTTATATTTGGCTTGTGACTTCCCGGGATAGAGTCAGAAAAAGTTTAAGAACAAAAATGACCTTGACCTACTTTCTAGGTCACATGGGTCAAATGTGCCAAACACTTCAAACGACATCTTCTGAGGAATTAAAAGGAACAGAATCTTCATACTTATCTGGTGGCTTCCTGAGATAGAGCCCATCAAAGTTTCAGATTGAAAATGAGCTTGACCTTCTTTCAAGGTCACAGGGTTCAAATATGTCAAAAACATCAAACGACTTCTTCTGAATAATCGAAAGCTATAGAATCATATAATATTTTGATGTTAGCTTCTTGGGATAAAGCTCTCCAAAGTTTGCAAACGAATATCACCTCAACCTACTGTTAAGGTCACAGAGGTCAACAATATTTCAAACGATTTGTTCTGAAAAACCAAAAGTAATGGGTTCATAAGATTTGGCTGGTAGCTTCTTGGAATAGAGCCAACACAGTTTGGGAAAGAAAATGACCTTGACCTACTTAGAAGGTCACAGGGAAAGGTAACCTGTGAACGTGTCTTTGACAGTAACCTGGTAATGTCTTTGACAGTATCCTGTTAATACAAATTTTTGACAGTTACCTGCTTATATACGTTTTTGACGGTACCCTGTAATTACATGTGTTTTACGGTAACCTGTTATATTATGTTTTTTGAGGGTAACCTGTTATTACATGTTGTTTTGAAGGTAACCTGTTATGATATGTTTTTTTGAAAGTAACCTGTTATAATATGTTTTTTAATGGTAACCTGTTATTACATGGTTTTTCTACGGTAGCCTGTTATTACATATTCTTGACGGTAACCTGTTATTACAGGTTTTTTGACGGTTACTTGTTATTACATGTTTTTGTGATCAGACAAATGGATTTTTCTTTCGCCAACATCAATGTTTTTCTAAAGTTTTGTTTTCAAGGTATATATATATATATACATATTTTTGTAAAGTAAGAACAGATTAACTTAAATATTGATTAATTCCTTTGTTTGCACATGGGTATACGTCCTTTGCCTATATATTTATTTAAGTAATACGTATCCAACGAACGTTTGTTTGTTCGGAGCCAGAGCCCATATTGGATCATACTGACGTTATTACTTATTAGACCTATATGTGACAGGAACATTCTGGGACAACTATATAAAGAACTGCATCTTTCCGGAGCTCATACAGAATGACCCAAACTGTCGTTAGCAAACTTTTAATGTCGTTAAATTTCACTTTGACATGCATTGTATACTCATCAATGGATCAATCCCAATATAAATATATGTAAATACGGAGAATATCAAATTAAATGCACGATATAGTATGTTTTCTTTCGAAGTTCTCACAATTCTTTTCTAGCCTCATATTTTATTTTAGAAATCAAGTGTAATATGAGATAAAGCAGTGTTCCCAGATATCCTAGATATCCGATATCATTTCGTATATGATCAAATATATATTTACAAAATAAAACACTTAGGGGACAGAACGTCATTTTGAGTGTCAACATAGAGCATACAATTTAGTTTGAACTCGAGACCGTTATATACCGCATGTCTTTATTATTTACCAGGTCCTAAAGTTTGTCCACCTACCCAGTTCTTTCCCGACCCCTGCGTCCCCGAATGTTACTACCAATGCTCCTCCTCCGGGCTAGACGTCAGATACTGTTGTATTAAAGAAACGCTTTTGGACAATTCCATCAGAAATTGTATATTTGCGTCAGCGATAAAACGAGTTGAATTTTTAAACGTTCTGCAACAGTCCACAGCTCCTGAGAAGGATAATGATTTTATTACACATCAAATCGAATTCAAAATTTGTGGTTAGTCTTTACTTTTATCTATATCTTTAACTACAATTATGGCACAATATATTTCATTAACTAATTCCTTTGTTTGCCCGGATGATAATAGCGCTTTTTTGTCACGTATTATTGAATTGAATGTTATGCTAACGAAATTCTATTTTTAAGATTCGTAAAGATATTTTACAGATACGAGTTATTCTTGCTATTATTGCAGGCGTACCAGGCTCCTTTTCACAACCAAAACCGACAGCACAGACAAAAGGTAACAGACTCACAACGATTAAAACACTAAAACCCAACTTAACTTCACTTCCAGCAAAACACTCCGACTAGGAAACCAATACAGAATACATACCGGCCTAAAAGTGAACCAAAACCACCATATTCTTCTATCAAACCCATACAAGAAACTGACAAATCTTCTTCAAAAACAAAATACACCTGACAACTAACAAAGCAAACTGTTCCAAAAATGACATCAATTAAACAAACATAAATTACAACACAAACAAATATGAGCCGACAACGTCCCAAATTAACCAAAGTACACCAATAAAGTCAGAAAAATCACAAACTGACCCAGTAGTTTCACCAACCAAACAAACTGACAAAAAACGATACAAAGGAAACACACTTACCTAACAAGGCAACACACCAAACAAACTAACCCAACAGAGTAACCGCTAAAACAAACTGATTCCACAAGATCACCGACAAAACAAATTGACCATACACAGTCATCAGAAAAACAAGCAGATCTAACAATACAAACCTTGCAAACAAGACCACCGACGAAGTAAACATTCAATACAAAGTCACCAGCAAAATAAACTGACCAAGCAAATTTACCAACAAAACAATTAGACTACAAAGCGACACCGCCACAACAAATTAATTCGACAAAGTCACCGACAAAAGCAACTGACTCAACAACGCAACAAACAACACAAACTGTCAAAATCATACAATCGACAAAGCAAACTTATCGAACAAATTCAACAAAGAAACAAACTTATTCATCAATGTCACCGACAAAGCAAACTGATAAGACAAGGTTTTTAACAGAACAAACTTATCCAACAAGGTCCCCTACAAAACGAACTGACCAACCAAGTCTGACGACAAAACACCCGACAAAGTCACCAACAAACTGACCAACAATAGAAACTGGGCAAACAGGGTATCCAACAATAGAAACTGGGCAAACAGGGTATCCGACATGACAAGACAACCAGACGAAACAAAGTCACAAACAGAATGATCTCTTCCGAAGATTTTGCCTAACAAAAGAATCTTATCAAACAAAAACACCGTCAAAACAACCGCCAGAAACAGACCAACAAACAAGAGATAGCTGAACTAACAAGGTCTAAGACAAAACAAACATACCAAATAAGGTCTTCGACAAAAAAAACCTCACTCATCAAGATCACCAACTAAAGAAACTGGTACTACAAGATCATGGACAAAACAAACAAATTCAGCAATGTAACATACAAAGCTAAACGAACTGACAAATCAACCGTCAATACAATCAGATATGACAAGGTCAAAAACAAACTGACCACACAAGGGCACCGGTAAAACAAACTGGACCGACAAGGGCACCAGTAAAACAAACTGACCCGACAAGGGCACGACTAAATCAAACTGACTCGACAATATCACCAGTGAAACAAACTGACCCCACAAGGGCACCGGTAAAACAAATTGACCTGACAAGGGAACCCCTAAATCAAACTGACTCGACAATATCACCAGTGAAACAAACTGAACCGACAAGGTTAAAACTAAACAAACTGATCAAACAATATCATGAATGATACAAACTGATCCAACAAAGTCATGGACAAAACAAACTGATCCGACAAAGTCAATGACAACACAAACTGATCCAACAATATCACCGGCAAAACAAACTGATGGGACAAGATCAGTGTCAAAACAAACTGAAGCAACAATGTCACTGTCAAAAAAACCCATTTAACAAAATTACCGACAAAACAAACTGAACCGAAAACGTCAACAACACACCAAGCAGACGCTGCAATATCATTCAAAGACTAAATGACATAACAAGTTCACCGTCTAAACAAACTGACCTGACAAAGTCACAAACAATTCAAACTGATTCAACTATATATCCGATAAAACAATATGACCCTACAAGGTTTTTGTTACATAAATATGAAAAACGTGATTTGTTTTATTTTCCCTTTATTGCTCAAATATAAGCAAATAGAAATAGTATTATTACTTAAATTGAAAGTCAGGCACACTTTTCCCTACTTTTAGGTGCACGTTGTCTTTGTTTTAAGTTTGACCATATAGCTATCAATACACAGATACGTATGTACCTAGTTCTTCATTTCATTAGTCTTTTATACGTGAAAAACAAATCTAGTTTAAGTCTGGTATTAAATGCTTTATTGATTAAAAATATTGTTACAAAATATTCACATAGTTATCGTTTCATAACCACAAAATATAGAAGTTCTACTTCGTTAGTACGATCACTAAAATAAAACAGTGTGAAAAATGAATGTCTTACATATTCATGTATGTAGGATTATTTAAACCATGTTCCACTTGATGGCAACTGTCACAACACTTTAATAGTACTAAGTGGATGTAACAGAATTAACCGATTATATTTGTCGAGAGTTACTATGTTATTGCATGTAACATGTATAGAACTGGAGAAAACAAATAAAGGTTATCATATCTTGAACGAGTTAATAATTAAAGTAACACTATTTTTCCATTTCCTGTAAGGAACACAATCAAACATATACGTGTACATGAGAAATATACATTTCAATTGTATATTAGAAATCGCATAATCAATCAAGCTCTTTTTCGCATTAGTTGCGTCTTTTGAAAATACAAGGTTGGACTACTTCGAATATGGAAATCATTATTTTTACACTCGTTTTGTAATTCCAAATTTTATATGACGTTTTTTATGGAAATCTCATTTAATGGTTCGGTATTTTCTCCATTAATAAGTTTCATCGTTGGTATTTCATAGCTATTTCACGTCCAAGCTCCGGCCGTCTTGTCATGTTTACATTTGGCGGAATGGTTTCTTGCTCGCTGGTTGGATATTTACAATCCGTTACCCCGACAAGAAATTTGTTATATAATCCGATTCCAAAATCAAAACGTTGGCATCCTTTTGGAAACTCATGTAATTCAACGTGATCGATCCGGTACCTCTATTGCCTTTAACAGCTGAATGCATAAAGATGGGCGAAGATGGGCGAAGCCCAAGCCAACATTTCGAACTGTCGGAAAGGTACAGTGTACAAAAATTATAGTTTGTAACATGGCCCTGTGGCCTGTCCCAGGGAAAATCGGGGGAAAACGTTAAAAAAAGTGCATGTAATATGAGCTCAAACTATTTAATACACTTACAAATAACAATGAAATATTTTTATTTTTAGATGTTAACAAAACATATATCACTGACAAGATCACCAGTTTGGTTTTTAACAATGTACACTGTATATGCAAATCGCCTTCATGGTAAAAAAAAACTTTTCACATAAATTATATAACTCAAAATCAGCAAGCATGGTAGCATACAAATACACCTATTTTATGTTAATTATTTGTATATCACATGTAAACAATCGCAGACTATTTACATCGCCAGCCTCATTTTTTCATAGGTTGCGTCGTTTGAAAATGTTAGCGAGACGGTCACATAATGTTTAAACTCCATAATTTAAAATATAATCAGCAAGCGTTCTGGTCATAAAATTCACCTTTCCGTTCTGTATTAAGGATGATGGCCATGCATTCCTCGTCTATCAAACAGTCTCGTACAAGTTAGGGACCACCTTATCCTTAGGATCCAATCTGTCATAATCATTTTCAGCTGTGGCATTCTTGGCAAGTTGTTTCCCATTTTGAGTGTCAATCTCTTGGTAAGGACCATCTAATATATAAATGGAGAGAGTGATACTTTTAAATAACAATAGATTATAAAAGATATGAAACAATTTGTAACCAAAATAAACAGTATTACGCTTTCAATTATCATAAAGCAAACTATGATTATCAGTGAGCAGTGCAAATGAAAAAGCAGGAGAGCTGTAAAAGTTTAGAAAATTTGTCATTTCATATCATGTAATGAAATGAGTTGCAGTTTACCTGGACTCTTTGCAAGAGCTTGGCTAACTACTTATGTGAGATGTTCCCTACATCCAGCATCCGAAATAGGAAAACTTTTATTATATTTGTTTTAATCTCATAACCATGCAATCTTTCGCATATCGCAAAAAAATATAATGTTATCAAGGTAATGTACCTGTATACAACTGCATCTGCGACATCGTAATTGTTTGATACGATAAACTGACTCCTTGCGATATCGACCAGACATAATCGCGATAAGATATGAAATTTGTATACTGGATCTTAAATTAGTTCGAAGATTTTCAAAATGTTTTCTTACGAAATAATTAATTCACTCTGCAGTAACTTTTCGTGTAAAATTCTTCTCTTTATGAATGCTAATTTACAAAACAATTTAACGAAAAAACACCATTTTGCTATAGCATGTACCTTTATAGGGGTCCCCGTACAACCTTAATGTATGTATTCCATCAAAAATCACGCATATGTATTAACTGTTTGTGTTCGACGATTTTTAATTTACAATCACTTTCATATAAGATATCTTTGATAAACATGAATTGAGAACACAAAATGATACTAGAAATGCAAATTACCTATATCGTTTGTCTTGGCTCGCTGTAAGATATCACTCATATGAATAGGGCCCGTAGTGTCTTTGTTCTTCATCGAGAGACGCCTGTTCTGTACAATAACCAAGATGACCAAAACCAGAATGACCACTCCAAATCCAGCACCTATCCCGATTGCAGCAGTATTAATGCTGTCTGTCGCTGTGAGGTCTTTAACAAAGTCATGATTGAGTGGTTTTTAGCTATATATTGTATACCTTGAAATTTGCACCAACAGTTACCTTTCGTCTATTTTAATCTCCGCAATTAGGGCGAATTTATCTTTAAAACAACTATTTGTTCACTACATAAAGTATGTAAAGTTCATGATAACATGCGAAGGGCGAAATTAATTCTAGGCGAATATTGATTTTACCAATTAAGGGCGAATATTTGGCTGCGCGATAGTTTTCCCGGTATATATTATTTTATGTCAGTGATATTAGTATTAAACATATGGAATTGTTTTTGGTTTTTTTACTGATCATTCCTCAAAATAAAATGAATACAGCTGTACTTGATTAAAACAAATTCAAAGTGTGTTGAGCATTTGAAGCACTTACGTTTTAATCTGCATCATATTTAGAATATGAAATTGGACGCAATCTACAACAGAGTTAAATAAAGGCCTGGACAATATTACGGTAAAGGTAATTGCTATAACTTACTAACCTGTACAGTCTCCATTGGTCTTGTCACACATGTCCTTACAGTTTTGTGGACATATTTTATCACAATGCTCACCGTAGTATCCAGATTGGCATTCTGAAAGTTGAGGGGAATGCTGATATCAAATGCTATATGTGCTTGGATGCTTCCTCGTTTAAATCAATAACATAAATATAAAGTATATACCGATAAACGTCACTCAGGATGAACTAAGAGCTGTATAGGGGATGCAGCTTTAACGTCATAGAGCTTTGCATCGCATTTGCGTTCAGATTATGTTATCATTGTGCTACAAACAACACTATCAGATATTGACATCAATTAAATGTGTGCTTGAAATTCATATAAATAGCGACCTAGCTATCATATATTAAAACATGTCTGTAACAGGGATATACACAGATTTATTGAAGTAAGCATGTATTCAAAGGTTAGACCCCAGGATTAGACTTTCTTACATAATGACTCCACTCACAGGAGTAGATAAATTCATCAGCTTTACACATATTGTGCCCAATCGTAAAAGTTATTTATTTATCATCCGTTTTATTTGCATTTATATATTCATCTATTCAATCAGACAATCAATCACTTTTCTTATAATCTTTTTACAAATGTACATATACAATAAGAGAGAGTTCACACAACAATTTCGATAAATATGAAAAACAGTGTTTTGCTAAATTCAAACTATCAGCAAACCGTGTCCAGTTACACCTACCGAAAGCACGCATCGCTGACTGCTACTAATTAACGTGAAGGTCACACTTTATTTTTTCTGAATATACGGAATTTCAGGCAATTATATGCCGAAATAATTGTTAAGTAAGCATATTTCGTGACTGTTTCCTGTTGTTTTAAATACCACACCATACCCTTACCTTAGTAAATTATAAACCAGGTTGGTGCACAAATCTGGATGTATATGTCAGTGTAAACCACGTGCTCTTGCTTGCACTGGCACAATCGACATTCAACACACAACGGTGAATATTACTACACTGGGTGAAATTTCCCCTGTTAGTGATGTTTAATTAATATCAGTGATATTTGTCTGTTCCTAATTACAATTTAAGACGTAAAATAAACATTTAAATTGATTTGATGACGGATGTATCGCTTCTCAAAGTAAAACGAATGCAGCTTTACTTTATTAAGTTAACTACAGAGGATGTTAACAAATGGAATTCATATAACTGGATACATATGTTGTCCCTGCAGTTTTGTGAACAGCTTTTATCACAGTGTTCATCGTAGTATCCAGTTTGGCATTCTTGATTTTAAAGAAAAAGGCTAATCTCAAATACAACATTCATCCGGATGTTTCTAATGTAACTTACTATCTACACTTAATGTGCCTAGTTTTCCAGCCGTTTCCTATTAATTGGTATAAATTAATCTATATCCACCAAAATGTTTATAATTTTAAAGGTGAATGAAGATGCATACTTTACACCTTTGCGTACATACGCTTCACTGGTCATTTGTCTGATTGAGGTGACGAGTACATACCGTACTAGTCATCGAAACGTCACATATAAACTGTTATTGGTAGTGCTACATAAATCTTTCACGGTTAATCAAAATGCTTTTACCTCTGTATGATAAGTATACTTTAATGGTACGTATTCAATATATTGTATCCGTGTTTAAAAACATGTCACCTTTGGCGACCGTCATTTTCTAAACACAATAATTCGCTAATAAACCAAACAAATACCCTTCGTATCTATATCAGAGACACATTAAGGACAGAAAATGAGAAAAATATAATAAAATTTAATCATGAAAAAAACCCATTTAAATCCTGAGTGAATTATTTCTAGTGCAATTTTGATTAGAAATAATACAGACACATTCCTTCAGATTGACACAGACTATTGGTAAATGAGAACTGAAACCTTCAACATAGATACAACCAACTCTCTGCCAGCCTTATTATAAATCAATATAACAAAAAGTTGCAAGCGGAATCACAGTAGCTTCTTAAATTTCTGAATTAGCTATATTTTGGAAATGGTAGTTTCAATAGTGTACTCGCCTAAACAATGTCCGTAAGTATGGTTGCAAATGTTTTCCTTGCAGTTGTATGGGCAACCTTTGTCACAATGTTCAGCGTAGTATCCAGTTTTACATTCTAAAATGGTAAAAATGACACTTGTCAAAAAGCTTGAATGTTAATTATTATAAAATGTGTTTTCATTCCTAATTAGTCTTGAACACTGAATGAATAAACATTATAATTTTTATCATTATTCACTAAAATTAGAAGTAAACCATGAAAACATTTAAAGATTACAAGGAAAGATAATAAATAAATACCACAACATGCAATAATGAGACATGCTTCCATTGCATCTTTAATGACTTATGTAACAGAACAAAACAAATTTCTACTTCAGCTGGTCAAAACCATATGATGAGGTTTTCTTATCATATGATATCGACATTTGTAATGACCTGAGCTGATAATCACGTAGCTCTGAACGAGTCAACGAGCGCCTTAAGAATGTTTTACAAAGTATGTATTGATAAAAAAGCGATAGGCTACGCTTTTCGGTTTTGTTTTTGTTATATATATATATTTATATTAACTCAACCTGTACAATGGCCATTGTCTTGGATGCAGGTGTTGCTTTGACAGTTTTTCGGACATATCTCAGAGCAGTATAGGCCACGCACTCCCTGATCACAACCTGGAGTGACAACATTACATACAGCGGATGACTATTAACAAGGCTCTGGTCGCAATTGACCTTCGCAATTTTGCAGGACATTTTCTCACCCTCGTTACATATCTCACCATAACACACGCAGATAGGTTTACTTTTTCTTTATAACTTATATTTCGTGAATATTTTTATCAATTTAAAGTAAACAATATGTGTTAAATGTTTTAAACCCGTTTAAACATACTTGCCGCATCACATGTTATTGGAACGTACCGTTGCATATTCCGGTAACTCTATCACACTCTTCGTTACAGTTATCCGGACAATTCTGGTCACAGGCAGCACCATATAGTCCAGGGGCACACTCTATAACGTACAAATTTCAAACTTACAAGAGTATTACAGTGTTCGTACTGTTCGTGAGTGGTTGGCGGTTGCCACGGAATGTATATTTCAGTAACACGTTTTGATAGCATGTTTCTGCAAGGCAACAAATGTTTGGTTGAAAATGCAAATAAATCCACCCAAATAAGAAAAGTAAGTCATCAGAACTTCATAAATCAGTTATTAAATCAGCAAAATCTTGTGAAAATATAAGGATTTCTTAATCTAAAAAGGGTTAGGGGTATTCTTAACTGCTCCTCTAATATAAAAAATATTTAGACTTTTTACTCTCTATAATTCAGAAGAACATTCAACGATTTGGAAAATATTGTATGAATTTCTTCTGATGAAAATCAAAACGATATTTTTACAAAACATTACATAGTTAATATAAGCAAATAAGGTAAAGCTCTAAAAAAAGTTAGTGAGAAGAAAAGTTGTCTTTTCAATGGAGCACATCCTTAATTTGTAAACACTATCGGCGATTGTTCGCAAGGAAAATAAAGAAATGCATAGAAAAAACCTTCTCGTGCAAGGACATATCGTTGACAAAAATGACATAGGAAGGAAGTGACATTAGCACCTTTTTTTGGTCTTAATTCGAATTTCTCAAATGTTCTGGATGCAGAAAAAATAAATATTTGAAATGCGTACTGAAATCAAACACTAAATTAATGAAAACGAAATCAATGTTAGTGTGATAGATACACTCTCATTACTTTCAAAGGATGGCACCTGAGCAAATTATCGTTATAACCATGGATGGCCCCTGAGCAAGTTATCGTTATCATAATGGATGGCCCAGTACAAATTATCGTTATAACAATGGATGGTCACTGAGTAATTTATCGTTATAAAAATCGATGGCACTGAACAAATTATCGTTATAACCATGGATGGTCCTGAGCAAATAATCGTTATAAAAATGGATGGCCCCTGAGTAAATTATCGTTATAACAATGGATGGCCTTGAGCAAATTAACGTTATAACAATGGATGGTCCCTGAGCAAATTATCGTTTTAACAATGGATGGCCCCTGAGCAAATTATTTTTTCAAACAATGGATGGCCCCTGATCAAATTATCGTTGCAAACAATGTATGGACCCTGAGCAAATTATCGTTATAACAATTGATAGCCCCTGAGAAAACTATCGTTTTAAACAATGGATGGCCCCTGATGAAATTAACATTTCACACAATAGATAGGCCCTGAGCAAATTATCATTACAAGCAATGGATTGACCATGTAAAATCAGTCTGCAGTTACAATGTACATACCAGTGCATTGACCATCAGTCTGGTTACATATATTGTCCTTACAGCTTATGGATACACAGGTCTTGTCACACATGGTACCATAGAATCCAGGTTCGCATTCTAATCAGAAACATTGGTAAAACACAATAATCTAGTAAGTTACTATACAGTATTACTAGTAACGGAATAGATTAGCAATTAAATATATGCAGACAAAACATAACAGCAAAGCTTATGTGTTAATGCACTAGTCCTGAGAAACTTAGAAATAGTCGTTTGTTTGTGATATAGCAAAACATATAAGTGGTACGTATTGCGCATTGATAATGGTACTTTTGTTGAATAAATTTACAATGTGGCATGATAGCAACATGACGGTCGCTAATAAAACTAATAAAATAAACTTAAATGCTTGTTAAATACCTGTACACGATCCACTGTACTGAAAACATGTGTTTGCCTTGCAGTTGACGGGACACCGATCACGGCATGCATCGCCACGAAATCCCTGATCACATCCTATGAGTGTCATCAAATATATTACATATAAGTTCTAAAACATAAATTGAGGCAAGTTTTTTTTTATCAATTAGTAATAAAAGAGTTGTAGAAAAAGTGAAAACAAACATCCGTTAAACACAGGGATTAACAATATCATAAATATTATACATCAAGTCGTTACAATTTAACATTATAAGAAAAAAGTGAAAAGTCACTCTGATCATGTATTTCTTTTAATACCTGCGCAGAAGCCAGTTTCTTTAACACATGCGTTTCCTTTACACTTGGTTGAACACAACTGACTGCAGTCATTTCCATGGTAACCTTCTTTACAACCTTCGAAAGAACAACATGTTTATCGGCATTTGGGAAATAAATTAGAAAACAAAACAAACGAAAATTAGTTAATGTGTCTTAATCAAACATAAAATATTATTATTTTTTTTTTTCTCTAAACACCTTTTGTTCAGTGACTTTTCGTTATAATTATAATTGTTCGTGACGACAACGACTTGGATTATATGCATGGGTGTTTCGTTTGTTATATGAACTGCAGCTCGGCACGAAATCAAATTCTTATTTTCACGAATGCGAATGCAAGTTCTTATTTTAAGGAATATTAATGGGCATGTGAAACGATGACTGTCGACAATTAAATGCCTACGAATTTTGTGGTTAAAAATGAAAATTCAAATAACTCTCAAATCGCAATCTGATACTTATTCACATTTGCATTAAAGTTTATGGTGGTTTTTTTTGCTTCAACAGTAAACATTTTAATTAACTTTCTGTGTCAAACGTGAGACCTTTGGACGTTCATATTATAACCATGAAGGAGAAAGTGTACACTGCTAGGTTTATGTCATCGAAAAGTTAGTCATGTATATACACATTCTTTTCTTGCTTTTTTTATAAACACTGCGTAGAGAATATCACACTTACCGCAATATCCGGAGGTTCTGTTACATACAGGATCAGTACAACCAGTAGAACAGGGATCACAGAATGGACCAAAGAAACCGTCATCACAGTCTTCTATAAAGGACCAAAACATAGAGTAAGGGTTTTTTTCAGTTAAAAACTGCATTTAATCACAACAATTGTAACCAAAGTCGTTTGTGCCTATCTCTACGCAATTGCTTAACCTGTGAACGTCACACATTATATGTATTTTGAAGTCATATTTCAAGCACGATGTACTTTCATAGGACATATGCATATTTTTCATGGTTCAAATAATCACTTGCTCATTGATTTTAATAGAATTTTAAACTCTGCAGTAATTTCCGCCAATAATTGCAGCGTATTTAAAACTGAAATTACTTACACAAACATATTTCATGTGTTATTAGAAGTTCTTTTTACACAACTAATAACATTTTCTATGTTTCGATGACTAGTACGATATGTACACTGTCATCTTCATCAGACAAATGACCAATGAAGCATATGCACACAAAGGTGTAAAATGTGTACGAGTTGTCCATAAAATCGATGTCGATTCGGCTACGCTGGAAACGTATGTACAATAGTTGTTTTATATGTACCGAAATGACTCAATTCAGCTACGCTTTGTTAACACTTGGCATCGAATGAATGTTCTTCGTTAACATGAGTTTAACATAGAGATACTCAATCTCTTTTTATAACAACATTTCAATCTACCTGTTTTCATATGATATGAGGCTAAATGTATTGTTGAGTACGCAAAAACCTACCAAAGTCCTTCCAATTCACGAACAGATATATCGATGAGCATTGTCTTTAAATAACATCAAGCAATCAAGTCGTATTACCTCTGCCGGTTTCGTCGATTGTTATTTTAACAATGACTGATGGTGGCGGCTTACATTCTAGCTGTATCATAAGCAGGACGATTTTAACCTCCGCATTTTTTTAAAAGCAACATCCATGCATCCTCGACTTACAGTATTTACCTATCGCAATTGATGTTGTATTCTAGAGCTTGCTTCAAATTTCGTGACTTCGGTGGTAGATGTTGAATGCTGACAGTCAAACGTACAACCCAGGGTTTCCAAAGATGCAAGTTGATGAAGTCCATGACATTGGGAAATATGCTATTTCTGTGTGTGATATGAAGATCGATATTTTTTATTATGGCGGTTAGAGTGCTTCGCTTCTTTGAAAACTACTCGAGGTCTTGAAGTGAGAACTTGACATGACTTGATCTGACCCAGATTTAAATGGCGTGTGTCATCCATTAAGCAAGAGACGCTTAACTTACCTTTTGTAATCCATTTAAATCTTTCTCTTTATTCTTTTTATTCTTAGAATAATCCTTAGGACCAAGTAGGGTGTAAATGAATTTCGTTTTGTAGTGCTTTTAATTTAATATTTCGACTTAATAATTTTGAAGTTTCGAGACAGTAACTTAAAATTTCGAAATGCTAAGGGGATGCAACAGGCATGGATCAGCCCTTTTACGAAGCCAGGTCTAGGGGTGAACTCCTGTGAGTGGGGGAGGCGAAGCCCCATGATGCCGTTAAGGACACACGGTAGTCAAGTGGTAGGACGCCGGGCTCATGACCGAAGGGTTGCGGGTTCGAGTCACGGCACGACACTGTGTTGTATCTTTGAGCAAGATACTTTACTCCGGTTGTTCCAGTCTACTCAGCTGTAAATGAGTACGTGGTAGGGCAGTGCTAGAATTGTTGAATGCTCGCTGTTAACGCCGAAATGGCAACACCGGCTGTATGCTCCCAAGGGAGTTGAGAAAGATATTGGTTGGTTGCGAAGGCCCTATAACCACGGATAATAATTAGTGAACCGCTTTGAGAAGAACTACGAACTAGGTTGTGATAAAGCGGTATATAAGAACCTCGAGGTATTATTATTATTATTATAAATAAAAGTTTAATGAATAAAATCGGGTAATTTCTATATTTTGGGCTGGGAATAAGGAATTTTGAAAAGGACGTCTTACGTTTAGTTGATGTATGTCTGTGCATGCTATTAACTCTAGGCATCCCACCTCATTATCTTGAAATTTTAAGTAAGTCGTAATTTAGAATTGCTTATACAAAAAAGGTGTTTTTTTTATCTATGTGGTCCATTAACTCTTCCGTATTTCAACTATTCAAACTAATTCAATCATCTGTTAGGGTCGAAAGATAGACTTTAAAAAGAGAGTAAATCAATAGGATTATTCGTCTCCATCAGATGTATGTTAATGTTATTGTCGAATCATGGAACAAACAGATCGCTTTTAAGAACTGAATTTCTTGTTGAACTACTTTTATCCTTCTATGGTCTTGTCGTGTGATAAACTTCATAATCAAACTTACCAGTGCACTTCCCAGTTGTTGGATGACACAGATCGTCAACACACGTTGTGCTACAACGTGATGCACAGTTTCCAGCACCGTATTGCCGCAAGGGACAACCTGAAATGTACAACCTGCATGTATATACCTTTTGATTTAGCTGAACATATCATCCTATTGCTATAAGACGGAGGGCAGCTGAAATATAAAGGTAGAGAAAAGCTCAAGTATTGACAGTGTCTAACCTTGCTGCAATACTTGCGTATACAACTTCAAATTCCTACGAAACCATACCACACCATATTAGGTTGAACCCATTGCCCCTAAATCAACTTCAAACTCATACGAGAACATACCATACCATATTAATTTGAATCCATTGCCCCTAAATCAACTTGCGTATACAACTTCAAATTCCTACGAGAACATACCATACCCGATACTGTTCAACCCATTGCCCCTAAGTCCTGACCATCCACAACAAACACATACGTGCATGTGTGTAGACCTACGTATACGAAAGCTGATACGCGTTAGAAAGAAATATATGCACCGATTCGTGCAGTTAGAATTTGTTGGATGTAGTTCGCCAATATTGTTAAATAGTTTGCTGGACCAATGCATTTTTGTTACATGTATACTAAACTATAATCCAAACGCAATACTTTCTTTTCCTGCACATATTTTGACATTAAACACCTTGGATGTTTTTCGATTTCCCCTCTATTTAGCCTAATAATTTACATCAATCTTAGTTATCACCTTCGCCAAATGTTCACTGTCTAAACGTGTGTAATTACCTAGGCTGTTTGTGACCTATTTGCAAAAAAAAGTAACCTTTCCGATTCATCTCGTTTCGCCTTGGTTGTGTATACAGCTGTATATTGTGTTTTCTCTTCTTTCACAGAGTGGTTATTTTGTGCATGCTTTTCCGATACTGTTCTTGTGTATGAAGAAGGGAGTGATATGTTGTGCTGTTTTAACTTTACAGAGTCACATTAAGATAGACTCAACAATTTCGTATGAATGCTATGTATTGTAAGACATTGCTGACTCTGCATCACCCGGTAGCAATCAGGGACGACCACTCTCAATACAAACTGTAATCTGGCCAACGACATGTTTATGCTTTTTTTCAACTACGTATGGATTATGAGTGTGTTGTTTTTTCTCAACGATAAATGGAGAAATTGTTTGCACAATTTTTGGCCAGAACATTTTGCTTTAAATCGATTGAATACATAACGATTGTCTTAAAAGGCTTACTCATATACAAACGTTGCATTAATCTATTTTTATCAAATAGTTCAGTATATTACAAGCTGTATTATTACTTCATGTAACTTTATATACAATGTTAAATAATGGAACTGTCTATAACATGTCGTTTAAAAACAACGCAATAGTATGCCTGACATAGTGGTTAGTACATATGTCGTCATACTAAGTAGTTATGAAATAATATTCGCTATTTTTTAACCGATAACTATTCAATATATATGACACATTAATCAGTATGTATGACACCTTAGTTCGCATGTGTGTAAGTAACTATTTTACTATGTACACCACCGTTATCAGTATGTATTAAATGATGGAATAATCAAAAGCAAATGAGCTGAATGGCTGATGCATCTCATACTGTATGAGGGAGAAAACTGTACAATGGTTGAGCCCATGGACCACCATCTCTTACGTTCTCTGCACACTATTTTGAGGAAGAGGTACCAACAACTAGCAGGAACTCAAGCCAAGTTTTGCGATATAAATTATGTGAAGCTTAAGTAACAGTTCGGTATAATCAATTCGATTGTCTTATAATGAGCAATATTAGTCTGTTGCGATATAAATTATGTGAAGTAACAGTTCAGTATAATTAATTCAATTGTCTTATAACGAGCCGTGTTAATCTGTGGCGACATAAATTATGTGAAGCTTAAGTAACAGTCTAGTATAATCAATTTGATTGTCTAATAATTAGTCGTATTAATCTGTTGCGATATAACTTATGTGAAGTAACAGTTCAGTATAATTAATTTGATTGTCTTATAACGAGCCATATTAATCTGTTGCGATATAAATTATGTGAAGCTTAAGTAACAGTTAAGTATAATTAATTCGATTGTCTAATAATAAGCCGTATTAATCTGTTGCGATATAAACTATATGAAGCTTAAGTAACAGTTCAGTATAATTGATTCGATTGTCTAATAATGAATCGTATTATTCTTTCAAGATGAGTATGATTGAGTACTCAGATTTATTGAAGATGTTTGCGACAAACATTTTATCGCTGCAAGAAGCGGCATGTACGCTCATACGGCTTAAAGGAGAAGGAGGCGCTTATTAGGATAATATAAAGTGAGTAATAGAAAAAAGGCACCATAAACAGTTGTCTTATCACCAACAGACATTATAAACATAATTGAAATTACATGGTTCGGAGAACGTTGCAGCAATTTTTAATAGCATCTATGTAGTTAAAGCACCAATGATATTCCTACATGTGTATGTTGAGATGTATCGAGGTTTTTTATTTGCAAAGTTGAAAGAGCTATTGAAGTACGACATAGTTGTAGCACATCTCATGTTAAAATCGTTTAATTTATATGAACATATATAAGTTTACCATACACTTCCACTTCACAAAGTTCTAAAAATGCATCATCCGAGTACCAGGTGAATGATTTCACCCGTCGGTCGTTATAGATGGTAAGATACCGAGCGACACCTGGACATGCAACTGTTTGTACCGAAGACATGGAAGCTAAGTCAGGAGTGGTGTCTTGGTAACACGCGTCTTCTGTTCTCCAGATAGTCGTGTTTGACAGGTATATCTGATATCCGGCTAGTCTATGAAGATAACCGTCGTCTTCTAAAAAACAAAGAAACAAAAGTGGAATGATACTCTACTAGCTAAACCCTTGTTAAAGCATCTCCTAATTGACCCTACCCTTCGCTGTCCAGCGAATTCTTATTCTAACAACCTGTAATAAGTCCAGAAACTGTTATTTTACAGATTGTATATTAAAAGGATCTACCTTGCTCATTTCATAGCATCCTTGTAAGTATATACCAGCATATGTATAGATATGTACTTAGTTATCAAATTGTGATTGGTATGAGGCCAATAACAATAGAATGTTATGCTTAGGTATACCTGCTCTCGTCAGACGTATATATGTGAAATGAACTGGATTCTGGTCATCAAAATGTACATGGCATCTGGGCAGTATGCATGCTGTAGACTAGACCATCATTATAAAATATTTAAAAAAAACAGGGAATGTCTCAAAGTTGTGTTTTGTTTGTTTTGTTTTTGTCATTATATGTTAACAAATAAAAGGAAAAATTGAGCCTAATTCGTCCAGCAAACACTGCGTGTTCCATTAAAAACTCCTCCATTACGTGGAACCTGAGCCCCATGCAGGTAATACATTGGCGAGTTAAGAAATATTGACTATGCACATGCGCTAATATTGGTAACTTCCGTGAAAAGGTAAGTTTAATATCTGTAAGGGCATGCTTCAATTCACTTTACATTAAACAGCACAAGGAAACTCTCCTTTTCGGGGACGGTGTGGTAAAGCATAAGCAGGTATGCATAGGCTGTATCAGTTCAGCAAATTACCAACCTTCGTTGGCTTGATATATGTCTCTGATGTACGGTACTATAATTTTACCAATGATTAAACATGATCATCGCATGGGGTATATGGACGCTAACATCAGATGTAGTTGCAACTTCCGTTATTTAAGTGGAAATGCACAATATGATCATGCGCTACCGTTAACAGATCAGTTAAATGTTTGAAAATGCATCATATATTCGATTTAATTAACATTGAACAGACCAAAGAAGCATCTGACCCTGACTTGCGCTATCATGGCTTGTACCGTTTAAAGGTATATCCGTGTGTCATATTACGGACTAAGTTTAATTAAAGTAATTTAAGTCCATGGTAATATCGAATAACAGCAGTAAGGAGGCTGAAGTGTATTTGGATTAGTTGCTTACGATAACGTTTTTATATGATAATTTGATATTTAACATATTAAATCATAGTTTATATACAACGATGTAGTCGGCTCCTCCTTTTTTTAGCCGTTATAATAATATAAGTTGTTTTATGTCATGATCATGGCATAGGCTGTTTGGTTATATATGTTAATGAGGGTATGGTAATTAGTAGATGAGATATTGACCAATCACAGAGCAGTATATTGTCCCCTACAGGGTTCTCTTAAATTGGTAGCAGCCCCTTCATCCGGGGAGGCTGTAGTGAACCACGGTTGGTTATGTGTATTATTCTACGGCTTTCCTAACAATATTCCTCAACTAGGGTGTCATACATTGGAGAAGTGTTGTTCTAAAAACGTTTGAACAGTTTCCTTAATTGTTGGGTCAGTTCAGTATCAATATGGACCAACGAATCCAGTTTAATTCAGTATGCTAGCGGTCGGACATTCACCGCGCCATTGAGGACTAGGATCAGTAGCCTACGGGATTACAAGTGTACAGTCTCGTTGGCGATGTTGTTGTTTTTTATAAGTGACTTTTTACGTCGGTAAGAAATTGTACTTTTAGTTGACTAGGACAACGCAGGTATACAGTAGTCTTTCTTGACTTATTCTTGGAGTGAAGTTCGCTAAATTCTCCGAAATCCTCTCCTCCATCATAGGTCCTACGCGCACATCCAACCGATCCACTCCGTAGGACCCGGAACTTCTGGAGAACTGGACGTTGACTCGTTTACACCAGGAGCTGTCACGCAGAAACATCGTCTTTCGGAAGGGTTCAAAACGAATGGCGTTTGTAAAACTCTTGAGTGATGCGCAAGCTAGGCCCAACGTCACAGGTGCGCGATCCCACAATGCAACGGTTCAGTCGGATCAAGACGGCGGCAACAACAACTCTGACAATGCACAGAACCTAATAGAAATGGTCAGTTTGCTGACAGAGAGCGTGGCAATTTTCCAGTAGTGCTTTCTTCGTCTCGAAAGTCGCTTAGATGAACGTCCTCAGTCACCTTTGTCAGGTAGCAGGCGTGTAGAGACCGCTACAAACAACGGGGTACAGGAAGCAGCGGCCGGGACTGAACGGCAAATCGCTACGAGTGCAGGAATTTCAAATACAGTTCTTACGCCTCCGTAGTTTAACCTTAATCCAGCTTACCAGAATTTCAGGACAGAATCAACATCGCAAGACCACACAAACGCTAGGAGGACAAATTATGGTTATGCTGCCGAGTCCCTGACGTTAGCGGAGACAGTTTCACCTGCCCTAAGAAAAAGCATTATAACAGGTAGGAATATTAATCTTACTGCGCCGTTCATGCCCTACTTATGTGGTCAGAGCGACCAAAGCTGTGTAACAGACAAGACAGACCACAGGCTAAATACGCGTCGGGTTTTTATGAGTACCATCGTCAATTCTCCCTGAGGGCAGCCGCACAGTTGAGGTACAACAATAGACCGATTGATTGGTCTGTGCGAGATAACACACTGTTCTGCAACATTTTTTCTAATATTCGTCCCATATCATGTAGTGTCTGTGACAGTACCCTCCATACCACGGGGTCTGTCCAGCCTTGGGGTAGGAAGTAAAACAACAAACATCTAGATCGTCGCGTAACTCCCGACAACGTCGACTCTCAGAGTCGCCATCGGGTCTTCAATGAAGGACAGGAAATTTGTAACAATTACACCAGTGGTCGTTTCGGGTGTATTAGAAACCCTTGCTATTTCATGCATTTGTGTCGGTCCTGTAAGGGGAACCATCCTCAATCTAAGTGCCCTTTAGAAGGGGTTCAGCCCTCCACCAAGAGGAAATGATACATGTGACAGCCAGCACCCCTATCAATGTGCAACATTTAAAATCAGAATTATAATTTCTTCCGGATAGAGAGTTTGCAGAATATTTATTAAATGGACTTACTTATGGATTTGATACAGGCATGTTAAAGAATTATGCTTGTAGATTATTAAGCCGGAAAGATCGTTCGTATCTCATTTCATATATCTCTAGCTTCGGCTGTGCGTGAATTACACTACCAGGTTAAATTAACAGAAGAATGTCGTTCAGACCTCGCTATATGGTCTCTTTTCCGAAGGTATTGGAATGGTGAATCTTTTTTCCTAGATGATCACATTACCACAGCAGTAGACCTTCACCTGTTCACTGATGCTACTCCAAAAGCATTTGGAGGTTTTTACATGAACCAGTGGTTTCAGGGGACATTCCCACCAGAGCGCAGTGACGAAGACACATCTATGGCCCTTTTTGAACTCTACCCAATTGTGATGGCTTGTGTGTTGTGGGGGCATCAGTGGCACAAGAAAAGAAAACTGTTTCATTATGATAACTTTGCCGTTGTTGAAATAATTTCCCTAAGGGAGATCAAAGATGGGCGTTTCCGGATGTTGGCTCCACACGCAGAGGTCCTTCCGGTGCCATGTCTGCCTATGTCTTCCCTACTCATGAGTTGAATCACGAGGTGGACTGTTTATGGAATGCAGCCATTAGTGCTAGAACTTTAGCCATTTATAAGTCGGCTTTGAACTGTTTCCTGACATTTGTGCTAATGATGGGTATTACTTTCCCAGTAAACTCTCTTCACCCTAGCTAAGTCTTCGTCATGATACTAGTAAATTGTACTTATCAGGTGTTCGGTTCTACTACGTACGCCACAATAAGGAGATCCAATCGCTGATATGCTCAGATCGACTTACATTCTGCGTGCAATCAAGAAATCTCAAGTGAACAATACCATGAAACGTCTTCCTATTACATACAATGTTCTGTTAAAATTGTGTGAGGTTCTTGCATGTGAAACAGGACTATTTGATTCTTTTATTAGCCTTATGATAACATGTGCATACAAGACAGCTTTTTATGGTTTCTTGCGTTGTAGCGAGTTTACTTGCCAAGCTCTGTCCGACAACAATTATATTCGTATTTTTGATTTTTTTTATACCCTGACAAGTCTTGTTTTAATTTCTATTTGAGAGATTCTAAGACAGACCCTTTCAGAAAAAGTGTCACAGTCAAAGTGTTTGAAAACAGTGCTTTGTCTCCAGTCAGTACAATGAATACTTACAAACAACTTAGGGGTTCTCAAGGTGCAATACCTAGTTCTCCTTTATTTGTTGAAACAGTGGATTTTACTAAGACTTTAATGCGTCAACCTTTTTTTTAAATTTTCTCAACAAAACTTTAACAGCCTGTGGTCTTAGTTCCGAAACTTTTAGTGGCCACTCCTTTCGCATAGGTGCTGCAACATCTGCAGCTGCAGCAGGCGTGGAGGACCATATTATTCAAATCTTTGGCAGATGGTCTTCCGATTGTTTTAGGTGATACGTCAGCATTGACCACTCCACTATTCGCTCTGCCCTGAGCCACATGTCCTCTTAGGCCTTGTTTAGTCCTAGATTTGAGGGCTTGGCATCACAATGCTTTGAATGTATGGTTTATAATATGCACTACTTTAATATTGAAAAACCTACCTCGTATTAGGGGCTCTCACTCTTCTGCAATACTCGTATAACACATTCATTCAATTTTGGCTTTAAATTCTAGGGGAATTCACCCCCAATCTCAGCAAAGTTTCATATTAGTGTGGGGATACGGCTTCTCTTGTATCACAGAAGTCTAGCTGTTCTTTTCATGGCTTCTCTAGGGTTGTTCACAACCAGAACCTAGTCGCTTCTCTGGAGACATTTTCATAGTCTAGCTGCTCACTTCTCTGGGCTGTGTAGGTGTTTCTCTGGAGATATTTTCAGAGTCTAGCTGCTCACTTCTCTTGGCTGTGTAGGTGATTCTCTGAAGACATTTTCAGAGTCTAGCTGCTTCTCTCAATACTCTCGGAGTCTAGCTTATTCAAAAAATAGTAGCATAGATATGTGGTAGTAAAATTGTTGGAGTGAGTAGCCCCTGATGCGCCAAATGTATAACTGTATGTACATATGTTCATAACAAGAGTTATAAACAGGTTAACTGTTTCCTGTGTGTTAGTTGTATATAAAATGATAAATTGATATTTAATATATTAAATTATAGAATATATACAACGATGAAGCCGGCTCCTCTTTTTATTTAGCCATTATAATAATATAAGTTGTTTTGTATAGTTTATATCCAACTCATGACGTTTCCCTATTCAGTCATGATCATGGCATGGGCTGTTTGGTTATATATGTTAATGAAGGTATGGTAATTAGTAGATGAGAAATTGACCAATCGCACAGCAGTATATTGTCCCCTATAGGGGTCTCTTAAATTGGTAGCAGACCCTTTCATCCGGAGAGTATGCAGTGAACCACGGTTGTTTTTGTGTACCCGACCACCATCCCCAGCTACATGCCAAGTTTCATATAAGCACATAAGTTCTGCCAGTTGTAATGTAGAACTTATCTTTTGTTGTTTCCCGGTATTTAGCAGCTGTTCCTTTTCTCATGATTGTATTTTTGTGCAATGTCATTTTTACATGTACCATTTACACTTGCCTGTGGCAGGGATTATTGCTATCTTTTAGGTTGTTTGGGTTACTCACTTCAGGAAGGTTATTATATTTCTCGCTTCAGTTCTAATCTAGCTTTAAATTCTAGGGGAACTCACCCCCAATCTCAACATAGTTTTATATTAGTGTGGGGATGCGGCTTCTCTTGTATTACAGGAGTCTAGCTGCTCTCATCATGGCTTCTCTAGGGGAGTTCACAATTCGCTTCTCTGGAGACATTTTCAGAGTCTGTCTGTTCACTTCTCTGGGCTGTGTAGGTGCTTCTCTGAAGACATTTTCAGAGTCTAGCTGCTTCTCTCAATACCCCCGGAGTCTAGCTTATTCAAAAAATAGTAGCATAAATATATGGTAGTAAAATTGTTGGAGTGAGTAGCCCCTGATGCGCCAAATGTATAACTGTATGTAAATATATTCATAACAAGAGTAATAAACATGTTAACTGTTTCCTGTGTGTTAGTTGTGTATAAAATGTAATACATAACTTATGAGCGTGGACTGAAGCTGCAAGTTTCTTGATAATATTATTTATAAAATGTTTTATCCCTTTAAACAAGTAGCCTAAATGGGAAGGCATAGCCAACTTTACTTTATAAACATTAAGAATAAAAATTAAATATCTATGCATTAATACATCTCATCTTGATTTTCAGTACATTTGTACCGAGTTCATTCACTACCGTACAAATTTCTAGTGACATGAAACATGTGTTGACAAAAAAGTGGGACCAAGGTTTGTGATATAGGCTACGTTCAGTAGTCGAAACTTCATTTTAAATTCACAGCAAATTGTACTTACCATTGTATTTGCGCGACAGTACTATTTTGCCAACAAAACATATCAGCTCAAACCACAGATCAGTAAGTTACACCAGGCAAGGAGGTTAGAATTTCAGGTGGAATTTAATCAACAGGATATGTTGACATCGTTTAACGAACATATCTTTCAAATTGAAATCAAATGCAACATCGTGAATAACACCATCGAATATCTGACCTGTAAACGCCTCCAGTTGTTGGAGGTACGTACAACTACCACAAAAGCAAACTACTAAGCTAGATATGTGGCTTGACATTGAACCTTTGTGCTGAGAAGTTTCAATACATCATATGTTCAAAGATATAATATACATGTATATCTGTATCTGTATATTGAAATATTGTATCCAAACTATATTTAGTCACTTGAAGTAAACATTAACAAAGTTTTGTTGATGTCTAGGTTTAAAGTCACTTAAATTGTTTTTATAATAGTAATGATTGTTTCCAATCAATATGTACATGCAGGTTACCATAGCTAGACAGTGTCTTGTTACTATGTTGAGAAGTTTCGACCTACCATGGTGATAAAGTTTCCAATTACCATGGCGAGATAGTTTCTGGTTATCGTGGTGGGACAGAGTCTGATTACTATGGCTAAACAATGTGTTCTACACGGATACATACCAATAAATAAATACGACACTGTTCGGTAAATAAAGGTGAAATGGTGCTGTCTATAATTGTCATGGTGAAACGGATGTATCATTCTTAGTCTTGCAATGTATATTTTATGAAGTATTTTTTTGTGTTCTTGGTCATAGACTGTTTTTATTATTACAGTATTGATTTAATATCCAAAATACATCTAGTTACCTTAAGTATTTTGTGAACTTTTGTTTAATTAAATATATTTTGTTTTTATTGATGATCATTCCAGATAGTTCAACTGTAAACCATTAAGCAACAAAACATTTAACATTTGCTCGAACTTCCCTGAACAAGGAAGATATAAATGTGCACAAGTTTTGCAGTAAAACTTGCAAATCTTTCCATTTTGAATTATCAATACTCAAACTACTGGATTAATACTCGAAAATATCGTTTATATGCATCAATGTTGTCAAACATATTCTGGTCAAGCATAATAAGATGAAGTCATACTTTGAAATATATTTCAAAACTGAATGCTAGCAAAAAGTAAATCAAATGAGAACATAAGTTTTGCCTAATTTTATGACCAAATTACTTACCAATAATACTTTTTAAAGTCTTATCTACATAATATTAATTTTGATTTATTTGAAGTATATTCCTATTTTATAAGACAAATATAATACTATCCTTTCTGAATTGAACTTTTAATGTTTTTATTTTAATGCATGTTTAAGACAGGATACATTATTTCTGTCCACCAAACAACTTATGATCATCCATAGGCGAAACAAACCATTAACATATTTTACCAGAGAAAATATGTGAGGCCTTTATTTGTAGGATGAGAACTGGAATGGATAAGTTCTGTGAAAAGTTATAAAAATTCCTCTGTAGCTGTTGTATTATAAACTTGCATGTTTTTGTAAAAAATATATCCTCAAAGATCCTATATTAAATAAGTTCTTGACCATACATGAAAAAACAAATTTGATATGTGACAGAGGGGGTGGTTCACTAATATGAGGTCAAATACCGTAAATATAACTACATCAAGTACTTGTTTTCCCACAACAATGTGTCCCACGTATTGCTTTCCTTTTTGAAGGAAAGCAATTAATTTCAAAATCACATGAAGGAATGCAATGCAACGCAAAGTATTTAGAGTTTTACATTTTCTTTTGAAGCACTAAGGGTTGACACAATAACCTTTAGTGTGATTAAATCAAATACTAAGTGAATTTTACTCTAAACCACGTTGTTACACTAAGAAACGATTTCATACACCACGGTATATCATCTGATGATAAAGGCGAGACAATCAATTTATAATTCTGCGTTTAACCACAAGAATTAGTTTGCGGTTGCTAGAAATCATCGCCCAAAATGAAATTTTCTTAAAATCAGTGCTACCAGATTTTAGTATTTTACTGCACAAACCCATGTCAATATAAACTTAACAATTTCTAGTGTAATCATATATAAAGTGAATGATATTGCAATTATATAACTTAAAATATGTAATCGTATATCAGAAAAGGTATAGTTAAATAATATACAAAAATTAGTTTAGTTATTTACAAACTAGTGCAACTATTAACAAATTGAAATATACCTGCATCTACTCAGAAATGATTAACAACCGTTGGAGCCATGGAATGTATACACAATTTACATCTTGTCGCAATCAGTTTTTTACAATATTTTATTTTTTATTTTGTTTTGTTATTTTAAACAAAATAAGCTGATAGTGATTACTAACTTGGATATGTGGGCACAAAACGTTCTGTGTGAAGGAAGCTTAATTACCTCTATATATTATCTTCATTGATTCTATGTTGAATTGTGTCTGTAGATCTACTTGCCACCAGGCCTCGTTCTGGCTTCCCGCCGTGTGTGTACAGCAGTTGGAGTCAATGCCTGTGAGGACACATCCGTCTACTGCTTTAGAGCTGTCCCAGCTACCGTATACAGAACTTTGTTTTGTATTCTTTCCAAGTGCAATATTCTCTACAAATAAATGAGAAATAAAACAAATTATCTGTAAATCGCTTATCTGCATTTTACTTTAACGCACGAAGGGTTTATTGTTCTCGGTGATTGAAAAGATGTTCTCAAGACTGATATCATTTATCATGATTCTTTCTTCCAAAAAAATGGATAAAAATTAAGTTGCAATAAAATTCTGTTTGTAAAGATTCGTGTTTATGTTTGGAATCCAATACAAAGAAAGCAGGTGTGTACAGACTCTCACGCCGATGTTCTATTACATGTTACTGTAATTTTGTGTTTAAAAAAATATATATTCCCGGTCCGTAGATACTGGTACAGTAATCAGGTGACATCTATATACAAAGGCCATATTGTAATTAAGTGGTATCTAAATTACAGGAAAATTATATTTTCAAACCTCCCAAGTCTCTAAATTGTGTACATGGCAAATGAGCTATTTGGAAAAGGACTTTACTTGTGGTATATATTGGTAAAAGGAGAAATATCAACGGTAAAATTACATATAACAATGGATCCATACAAACGTATGTACAAGTAAGTGACGATAGGACAGACCAAGAAACAGACATTTCGTCTACTACACCTGACAGTCTCATACACTGACAAGAAGCGGCAAGCGTGTGAGTTAGCAGACTGATATCAGTGAACCAGTTTGTCAAATACCGACCGAGAAGGGAAGCAAACGGATATTGGATTGGTTTGGTTCTTGTGTTATTTTGTTAATCGTCGTTTTACCAGTAAGGTCATTTAAAGGTGTTCTCCATGTGTGTAACGCATGCCTGGTTGTGTGTAGATGTACTGGAGGCAGGGTTTGTTGATGTCTTCACCTCCTTGTCATAGCACGAATCTAATGCCGACTTTTAGAGTGCTACCTCAATGAAATACCATGCAGAAGGCACCCAACACAGCATCCCGCCTGATCAGAGTATACTGACAACGGGTTCAACACATTGCGCATTCAAGCTGCGTTTGCGGGTTTTATAAACTTTTTTTCAAATTAGAAACAAATTATGTAGTTTGTAAATAGGTAACAGATAACATTCGTACTTGGAACAAAGATACATATGTTGCTAACTATTAAACACCTTTATTCTTTGTTCTAAATGTGCTGTCTTTCTACATTCATACGTAGGATCAATTCCTCACACTGTTTTCATATAAAAGGGTAAACATTTATCTTTGAATTACGGTAAATGTCTGATCTATTTCTATTTTGGAATAATTTACAAAAATGTAGCCTTTACATTGAGTGATAATAAATCTTACATGTACCACACCGTCGTTTCAACAGCGCTTAAAAGATAAATGACTATTCCAACTGGATATGATGTTCCCGAAAGGATTGTTTCAATTTTCTTACTGTCAGATATGTGCAAACATACATGTACCAGACATTTACTGCTTCTTCAGGTATATAATTGGCAAATGCTTGAATGCCACACTTCGTGACTGCCACTTATACAAATGTGTTAAATTCTTGTATTCTGGTTGGACTTGATCTATTGGAAAATTGATTCATATTTTTAACAAATAGGTTTTCTATGTGTATACATAACGGAGTCGTTGTTATTATTAAGGAATCGGTTGCCAATGATATAAACCCTAAATAACTTTGGTATTGGGATCTAATTAACCATGCTAACAACTCCTAGGTTATGATTTCAAATAACTATATGTGTTACTCAACATTTACACCCCCTAAATAAACTGTCATTGCTACTGCCAATTACTGCAGCATGCTAGAAATAATGGAGAGGTATGTCAGCGAGTTTATAGAGTTTAGTTTGCTCTGGCGATTCTGACAAACATCACAGGCTGTGCAAACAATGACATAATGTCTACATATGCAAGTTAATATTAATACGCTAATTGAATTGGGTACTATTAAAATATCTAAAACTCCACGAGCTGCATTGTTTATCTGATCTTATACACACTTTCATTGTCGATGCCACGTACACGGCGATTGCTTTAACGTAGAATAATGTATACATTGTTGCCAGGGAAAGTATGTCGGACTCATGTGTAAACCTTAAGAGTTATGTATTACGAACCAGGAAGTTGGAAGTGATCTTTGACATTTCATTGCACAATGTAACGCATGGTTACCTACACTGAAAGAAAAACGCTAAAGAGAAGTATAAACATTATGTAAAAATGCAATCAACACCAGTATATACAATACCTTTGCTAAACCTAGTACCGCTTTATCATATTATTTTGCATATATGAAGATAGATTAATCTCTATGCTTTTAAACAATCAGCGACGTAAAAGTGAAAAGAACCGTACCACAGCACTACATATAATTATACTTCTTATCCACTTTTTAACTTTTTAAAATTGATATAATTCGAGGGTGTTATGCATCTCTCTTTCCGTCCCAACAGTAGATAAGACCAATTTAAATGTCTATCTGTTTTGTACTCTAGCTTCACCGATGAGTCCCAGAAAGACATAAGGTGCAGCGTAATTCATTCATTGTTGAGATACTGTATTAATTACAAAATTGTAGTTATATGTGTGTGTTCCGAAAATGAAATGAAATGTACAATATACAGTCTAGCCGATATCATGCTATATAATATACATGTTGTTGACATTGTTTTGATGTGGAGGTACTCTTGTCATATATTTTAGGGTTTTCAAAATGAAATGTGTATTCACGTGTATTTGATATAACATATATGATAAAAATAACACATAATAACTGTATAAAGGGTCTTCATTAGAATTGATAAAACTAACGCTTTCAGACTGCCGAAGGATATTCAACAAAAGGCTTTTGAGAGAGGCAGATCGATGACGACTAAGGGCAAGTTTAATGGGATCTAATTAACCATTATTACAACTCCTAGTTTATGATTTCAAATAGCGAAATGTGTCACTCAACGGTTACACCACCAAGATAAATTATCATTGCTACTGCCACTTTCTGCAGCATGTTAGAGAGAGTAAATTCGATACTTTTTTATAATATCAAAATAACCACGAGCTGAATTTCTTACCTGATCCGATACGCATTTTCATTGTCGATGCTACGTACACGGCGATCGCAATAACGTAGTAACATGTCTCCATTTTCGCCAGGGAAAGAATGGCGGACTCTTGTGTAAACCTTCAGAGTTCTGTATTACGAACCAGGAAGTTGGAAGTGAGACCCTTGTTCAGTGAACTTTGACATTTCAATGCACATTGTAACGCATGGTAACCTAAACATCAAGAAAAAATACGAAAAGAATAAACATTATGTAAAAATGCAATCTACACCAGTTTATACAATTACTTTGCTAAAACTAGGATAATTATTATAATACTTTGTATATAAACAAACAACGACGTAACAGTGAAAAGAACCTTACCACAGCACTATATATAATTATAGTTCCTATCAACTTTTTGAAATTTTATATAATTCAAGGGTGTTATGCATTTTTTTCTATCTAAACAGTTGTTAAGACCAACTTAAATTTATATATTTTTGTACCCTAGCTTCACCGATGATTCTCAGAAAGACGTAAGGTGCAGTGTAGTTCATTCATTGTTGCGATTCTGTATCAATTACACAATTTGATATGTGCAATTACATGTGTGTGTTCCAAAAATGAAATGAAATGGAATGTACAGTATACAGGCTAACCGATATCATAATATATAGTATGTTTGCTATTGACATTGTTTTGATGTGGAGGTACTCTGTCATATGTCTTAGGGTTGGCAAACCGTTCAAATGTTGGTAACCGGTTACTGGAACAATCTTCCGATCGAGTAAGCGGTTAATTGGTCAATTTGGTAATCAAACTATAAACACCGACAATATGTTATATGTTTAGCAAATGTTTTATCTAAAGCGCATTTACACTACATACATACCTAATATATAATAGCATGATAGTTTACTACTCGCGTATATCAAGCTAAATGAAGGAAATAGTTTAATGTAACCTCAGGACATTTCATCCACAACAAATGTCGGAATACAGTAAGGCGGGACTCAATTACAGGTATCTGTACTCGAAATGATATGCGGTAATATTGTTCTTTAGATCAAAATTTGATCGTCCATCGCTTAAAAACGTGTTTATTAAAGTGTGTACCCTTCAGATTATATTAACATCTCACAAGGTAAAACGAATTCTACGTCTGAATGTTGATATCTAACAACTTTGGATTCTGTATGCCTACTCAATTACTCAATGTAAAATCTGTTATTTACTGAAGTTATTTTCAATCTCGAAATAGCATAACATGTTTGTATTACATTCAGGCGTTACTCTTTCCTTCAACGTTATATATTCATACGCAGTGTAGCAGGGAAGACGGTTGTTGAACTGTTGAAAGCTTAATTACATTACACAAATGTTCAAACTGCGACTTTTGATAACATTCTTTTAAAATATACCAATACTTGTATACTGCTTGTCTTCATATACGTATTTCAAAATGTAATACAGACAACTTTAGTTTGGTACCTCAATTATTTTGAACCTGTACTACCCCTACCTAAGGTAAAATGTTGCGTATCGTTAAACGAATGAGGCTATGCACCGGAATTTGCCTACTCAGGCAGGTTGAGCAGCCAGCGATATATGTAGGTTGCGTACTGGTGTTACACACCTAGCGGATAAAATAATACTACAGCCGCAGTATTAAAGTTTGATTCTTAGTTACAATTTTGTATCGTATAAACAGGAAACGTTGGCGGTTTTATGTGTAATGTACACAGTTCTTACAATACGTCTAGTTGTTACATGTACATTCCTACCCCCTTCAGTATTCAGTACTTTGATTTTATGGCGCTAGCGGCATCTCTTTATCAGTTTTTAAAATGGAATACAAAAGCAACACTATTATGTCAGCCTCATTAGGTTTCTTTTCACAAAACTAGCCAAGTTTGGTCGCATCTATAGATTTTTTAGGTCTTACACAGGGAAATATTGGGCTCCCGATAGGCGTAAGGAAATGTCCGACTATTCGGTTATTGATTTTTGTAACCGGTTCGTGGTCTTCCGACCGAGTAACCGAGTTACCTGTTAACCGTTGATAACCCTATTGTATCTATTTAATTTTATGACTCTTGTCCTGTCTGGGCCTCACTCTCACGACCTACGACACCCAATCGCATTGCCCAGAAATATCTGCGGTTCCTACATGTACCATATATATAATTATCTTCCTTCATCAATTGTATTTCTAAAAATAAAAACAATATGTCTTTTACACCCAGCATATGTTGAATTGAAGGTTTAATATATGAACTATCTGTCGTACGTTTACCGTGTCTAATATGTATTCTAACACGACTCGTTTAAAACGCATGTTTTGATTGAATACGGACAATGTTCCAATCTGCGATAGAATCATAATCAATCGTGTTAAGCTCCACCCATCACACTTAAGCCACGCCACATTTCTAAGTACAACGATATGGCTTCAAGGTCGCCTCTAAGCGAAATCCCGCTTATAAGGCTAGCAGGAAACAGAACAGAAAGGACTGATGAATTGTATTTGTTGTTTAAAATAAAAACAAATGGTAATTATTCCTTGTTCTTATCCCCATTTATTACTGAAACGTTCGTTCCATCCGTGTGTAGGCATCTAGTTAGATCCGAACTCAAATTAAACATTTCACATATGTCGTATGAAATTTGCACGAAAGGCTTCATTGATCTACACAAATAATCACAAATTTTGTCGATACGCACAAGTTGGCATACAAACTGACATGGAAATGTAAGAATATGTTCAATGTAAATCCAAAAGGGTCGTATACACTTTGGTAACAGGAAGTTAACAATCAATCCAAATATTCCGCCTCGTCAACATACTGATCGAGCGCTCGCCAGTAGGGGCTGGGCCAAATGACCGACTTTTGAAAGCTTCTTATTGATTAGTTAGTCCGCTTCAGAACGGCACGTGATCAGCAAAGGTCACAGAGGACTTTATTGCGTACTTGTGACAAGGAAATACATTTTTTTTTTAATATTTGTACAATTCGTATCGATGTATGTATTAATACATTGAGATCCCGGTAATCATATTATCAATAGACAACAGATTTGTCACAATGACCATGTCGAGTGTATTGGGCTGTTAACCACTACAACATCGAAACCTTCCTTTTTAAGAAGATGTGGTGTAGTAGTAGCATGTTACATATATGATAACTGGGGTTTTTTGGTTTATTTATTGTATGTTTTTAATTTGTTTCATGGTGACTGTTTGTCTGTTTCTTATATGTTGTGATATGTCTTTCTTAATTTTTCATGGACGGATTCGCTCGAAAATTGGATAAATTCCTTTGGATGTACAGTCGTTATTACGTCTTTGTCTATCGTGTTTAAAGGAAAATATCATCAATCGGTCCAGCATTCATCTTAACAATTTTGTGACTAAACTAAAGTTTGTTATGCTTTTGTTTATTTCGATGAACGAAACCATCACAATGAAACATAATATTGTACCGTTATTTCTGTTTTAACTAGTGAATAGACTCTATCAGAAATTGTATGATTTACAGAAAAAGAATACCGCGATGATGTTTGATGATGCTCGTCAATTGTTATTGTTCCAAAAAAAACATTCATGTTGATATTAATTTTTTTCTACAGAAATATAATTGTATACTGTACCATAAGGTTATTGCTATAAACATGGCGGACAGTTTCTGAAAGTATGTAAGAACAGTAATATAAGTGGCAGGTATTTGATAAAATGCATTTTTATGTGTATTTGAAACAAAAGAACAAGTTTTTGCATTTTCCCGATGATTTTGTCCTTGTGTTTTTTTGTTTGCATTTACTTTTACATATTGCAAATAGGTTACACGTTTATTCAAGAACGACATCATATTGTGAACCGAAATGATTTAGATAAAATGCACAGACCGAAAATATTTATGCCAAAATATGAATACATGGCTAGGTTTCCAGACTTATAAATGATAAGAAGTTTAATTAGCCATTAAAGTGTTGGAGAATTCATTGATGAAAATTCATGGATACGATTTTATTTCATAGTGGTACACCGTTGTATAGGATGCGGTAAGTATTTTGGTCTTAACGACACGCTTAGTTAAGCGATGAAAATAGAGCGCAGCAATGTGGAAAAGGATTACAGTGTTAAGTGTCACATACTGGTAAAAAGTTATTCTCAATGTTGAGTTTTCAATTATGTCAGTGTAGTGTTGTCCTTTGTCGAGGAAAACATGTCGGTATAGAGTATTATTTTGTGTAGGAGTTAATGACCAGTCTTACATTGTAACAGTGTCAATGGTCAAATCTAATAATGCAGGTAGTGTATCATCTTTATGATCCCAGTTAAGCATTCCAAAAAGAGGAGATTGGGGAGTGCAGGGAAATTAAATGTATTACCCATCCACATTGCCTGCGTAATATTGAGTGCAACAGAGATGAAAAACACGAAACGATTTGATAGCTGACATCTCCGACTCGGCACATTGTTCCTTAGTGAGATGATTTCGTCTGTAAAAGACCACATCACTGTTGTTTTGTTTGACAAAGGAACTGGTGATTTTTTGTAAATCACCAAATACTGTGTGTTTATGGAAACAACTTATCGTATATTTATAATATCAAAGTGATGTATCTCATTCTTAATCATCTTGTTTGTAAAAAAACGATTAATGTGACGAATTGGTTATCCGAAAAGAGTGAGAAATGTTACCTATAACATAACAATATAAACATAGATATTTTAAAAAAGAAATGAAAAAACTAACCCTTTCATAATTGTGACATGCATCGGTGTGTAACATACATTGGCTTACCTACATGTTAAATATGTAGTTAAGCCAATGTATGTTACACACCAATGCATGTCAAAAGTATGACAACCAATACATATATTTACATTTTATGTTAATGAACTTACAGTTCACGCAGAAATAAAGACATGATAATAGTATGAACATGTTTCAACGTCAGGGTAAATCCATACAAAGAACAGCCACCAGTTGACAGTGGAGCAGTGCAATCTCCAACGTTACAGTTATGACGTCATAAGCATAGCGACGTCACAATAGCCAAATCTATGTTATACGGAAATAACATACATTGGGC